AAGGGGGCGGCGCGCGCCGGGCAGCGAGGGCGCGGGTCGTGAAGGGCCTAGGAGTCAACTGCTCTCGTGCTGAGTTTCAACCGCTGCTGTCTAGGTATGTCCTGACCTCCGACCTCAGTTCTTCTCCCCACCCACCCCAACCTAACTGTTAGCGGTGGACCCCGACTCCTAAATCTACCACAGGCTCCCCTGACTTCTGACTTTTGCCACACAAGTATCCCCCAAGGCTCCCAGCTCCAGCATCTCCACAGATTTTGTTGACACTGATACCCTTTGATCCTCACAGGCCAACTGCTGCCCTTTACTTATGAGCCCCCAGAGCCCACCTTCCATTATTTCTTTCTGAAAGTTTATATTTTGGTTAAAATTAAACTGACAATGTCTACATGATGGTGTAAAATTCTGGTTTAATTAATTCACCTTGTCTACAGTTTTGTTTCATATGAACTTCTATTTTACACCAGATTACTCCATTGGAATGATAATTTATTGTCACTTAAATGAAGACAAAGTCTCTCCATTCTGATGTTCTTTATTTCTCTGGAAGTTCAACACTTGCACTTGGGGACGTTGCGTTTTCATATTTAAGGGGGAAATTTCCTTACATATTTATTATGCTATGCATTTCCCAACAACAAATACAGTTTTTGTTAATGTGAATCTTTATTTCACCTTCATGTTGAAAGTTTTGCTGGGTATAAAATTCTACATTGCCTTTTCTTTTTGTTTAATCCTTCAGTATTTTAAAAATGTCCTTCTATGGCCTTCTGATTTTCTGATATTTCTGTTGAGAAGCCAGCCATCAGTCTGATCATTATCCTTTCGAAGATAATGTGTCTTCTCCTACCCCACGCTACTTGAAAAATATTTTTTTCTTTTGCCTTTAATAGTTTTGTGTTTGATGTCACTAAGTCTATGTGTAGTGTATTTATGCTGCTTTGAATTCATAAAGTTTCTCAAATGTGTTATCTGATTTTTTGTGAGTTTTTCAAATATCTTGGCCAATATTTCTTTAACCCTCTGTTCCCATTCTCTCAACTTTCTTCTCAAACTCCAATTACATGTATGTTAGAACTTTGTACTATATTCTTTATACCTCTTACACTGTCTTTTGTCTTTTTTGGTTTTTGATGTTTGTTTGTTTGTTTGTTTGTTTGTTTTTTGGGTTTTTTGAGACAGGGTCTCACTATGTAGTTCAGACTGGCCTTGAATTCAATCTGTAGTCCATGCTGGCCTTGAACTCATGGCAATCCTCCTGCCCCAGCCTCCTAAGGGCTGTGATTACCGGCATGTGCCACCATAACTGGCTTCTCTTTTTTTCTACTGTGGTTTATGTTTGATATTTCCTATGACCTGTTGCCTATTCAGTAGAAACTACTTTGCTTGCCTGAGTTGCTATACAACTCCTCTTGAAGTCTTAATTTTACTTACATTTTCAATTCCAGAATTCTCATTTAACCCTTCACCTTTTGTTTTTTAAATAGATTTCAAGGTTCTGTAAAATTGTTTATCTTTTCTCTATTTCCTTGCAATTTCAATCCCATTATTTAAAGCTCCTATTTGATAACTGTAATATCTCATTGTTATGGCTTGTATGTAGATGCCCCTCCAAAACTTCATGTGGTCATAGGTGGGGCTTTTTCAGAGGTGGCTGAATCTAGAGTATGTGATTGATTCATGGTTTAATGCTAGAATTAAGGGATTAATGATTAAGGATGCTAGAATTAAGGGTGGATGATTACTAAATCAATCCACCGATTGGTTTGCCACCATCCTAATCCAGGTAGCCTCGATATAATGTAAGGGCTTATCTTCCCCCATGCTTGCTTTTCCTATCTTCTGCCTGCTATGAACTATTTCTTCTCTGCGGTGCCCTTCTGCCATGTCAACTTGCCTTGGAGCCAGCCAACTATGACTGAAACTTCTACAAGATAAAAGACAAACTAAAGCTTGCCTCCTTTAACTTTGGGTATCAGGTATCTTTTCTTAGCAAGGAGAAAAGTAAGTAGGACACTCATCATCTGAGTCCTCCTCAGGTATGTGGTATTTCTTCCTGTTTTATTTAATAGACCCATCATGCTCATTGAATTCAGATAGTATGGAAGGAAGGGCTGTGGATGATACCAGTTTTCTTCAACATGGGTTAAGTTAAGTTTTCTTTTGTTAGTAGGCAAAAAGAATAAATTACCTTAATCCCAACGAGGCTTGGTTTTAGGCTTTTTAGTGAGTGCTGGTTTATTTCAATTTATTTTTTTAATCTTAGTTTTATCCTTACTTTTAGTCATAGCTCTTACTGGATCTTATTACTAAAACCATGGGATGTTACCAAGACCCCTCTGTCTTGTGGGGCTTGCACTCTAATCTCTGTCTTCCCAGCAACGTGAAGCTGCTGAAATCTCTGATCAACTCTTTAGGTGCTGCCACTATTCTTCTGACTTTCTGGAAGTCTCTTTGTGGCTGTCATCTTATGAGCTAATGATTTGCGGGAATTTGTGAACAGATTTTTGAGCTCACATATCTATAGTTTGTTTTTTTTCTTTCTGTCTAGAAAATCCCAGCTGCATTTGTTCCCAAGCTACAACCTTTGTTTCTAGCCAATTAAGGCTGCTACTTTCTAATTACCTCTCTTACTACTTACTGCCACTTAGAAAATGTTTAGGGGCATGGGAAGAGCTGAGGTGAATATAGATCTTGCCTCTTGTGCTTTAATTCTCTCAAGGATTGTGACAGATTAAGTTGTGCCTTCTTTGGTTATTTTTTAGTTGTTAAATGTAGTGTGTGTTGTGCATAATTGTTCTTAAACATTTATTTATAGTTGTTATATATAATTAATATATGTAATAAAATACACACAATTTATCTTGTTTTTATAATTTTTGTTTTTTTGATATCAGGGATTCAACGCAGGACCTTGTGCTTGCCACTGAACTAAATCCCTGGCCTATAATTGTTTCCAATGGTAAGTCTAATCCAATTTAACATATTTCAGTATAACCAGAATACGAAGTCATCTTCTTTTTTTTTTTAAACTAGAGGTTAGACAAACGGTGCTCTACTACTAAGCTTGGCCCTTATTAATCTTTATTTTGAGACAGGATCTCAATAAGTTGCCCAGGCTGGTATCCATTTTGCAGTCAGGTGCCACAATACCTGGTCTGCAAGATCCACTCTTGACCTTCAGTTTTTATAGTTTATCCAAATTCCATGAATCTTCATCCCTACAAATCAACTCCTAAACCTTAAAATTTTCAATACTTTCATCCTTCCACTTTTCAGTCCTATCTATACCTGAAGTTCCTGATTCATATATTCTAATTTCTATTTCCAGGTCTCAAGTGCTATGATACCCAATCTAAACTATGATTTCCACATCCCAGCACTTATGACTCTTATATCCCAAACACTATTGATGTTTTCTAACACTACTATAACATCTCCTGGATAACACCCCATTATTATAATTGCTTCTACTTTTGACCAATTTCAAAATTCCAACCATCTTTTAAAAGTATTGTTTTACAGTCACCTTTCAGTCAGATCAAATGTTAGGTTGTGGGGAAGGAACAGTTATTTGAGGATTGGAGTTAGGTTTTGTTTTTCTGTTTTGTTTTGTTTTTTGTACCAGGGATTGAACTCAGGACCTTGCACTTGGGAGGCAGGCGTGATGCCACTGAGCTATATCCCCGGACCTGAATACTGATGTTTTTTAATCACATCTGGTGTTTTTTCCACTACAGAATATCCTTCTATCCTATGCAACTGTAGGCTGGTGATCGAAACACCAGGCAATGATTGCTATCCTGTGAATTCACCAGATAATTCTGGAAATGAGAAGCCAACTGTTTTTCCCTTCAAATTTAAGTGATCATTTAAGATTTCAATTTCAATTAGCTTACCCTTCCATGATTGTCTATCAACAAAGTACACATTTAACTTTATATCTTCTTTTTGCCAGTTAATAAAAGATAGAATTAATGTCATTACAGCTATTAAAATTAGCACAGAAAATGCTCCAGGATATAAAATAATTCATTTCTGTCACAAAATGCAATTAAAGGAAGGACATTCAGAGCCCTTAGGAATTACAGAATTATCTTTCTTTATGGCAACTCACTTTCTAAAAAAGACAGATGGATCTTTGATCTTTGTGCTTTTTCAGGGGATTTAATTAACATGTAATTCTCATACCTTAGGAAAATCACCTAATATCTTTGAGTTTTGATTTGTTACTTCTAAGATCAAAATGACAATAAGTCTATAATACAAAGAATTTTATGAGCCATAATATGAGATGAGGCAGTTGAGCACAGTGGTTAGAAAAACAAACTGCAGGGCCAGGGATTTAGCTCAGCGGTTCAGTGGCCTGCCTTGCAAGTGCAAGGACCCGAGTTCAATCCCTGGTAACAAAGAAAAAAAAACAAAAACAAAAAAAACAAAACTGCAGCCAAATAATTTGGATGTAAGTGGCTACATCACTTACTAGCTGGTAAACTTGGTAAAGTTATTTCCTCCTTTGTTAAATGGAAATATAATAATGTCTACCTTATAACTTTCTGTGGTTAAGTGAACTAATGTATATGAAACATTTAGAAAGTACCTGACAAATAATAAGTGCTATGCAAATACTATTACTATATTACCATTCTCTAGATATAATATGTACTTATACTGTAATGGAAAGAGGCTATATTTTTAATCATAGTCAACTATGTTATGCTTTTTTGGTTTATAAATTAATCAGCAAGCAGACTGTTTCTCCATTGCCCATCCCAAACCCACCCAATTTCTGTAACCTGGAAATTTTTGAAAGCTTGTAATATTACCTCCATTAACAGCTTTTCCCATAAATCATGATACTGAAACTTCAAAATATCTAGGTAAAATTCTTTACCAACACTTAAAATATAAAGTCTACAATCAATCATTTACTTTAGTAGTGCAAATATCAGCACAAAATTCCCTGAACTTACTCTATAAATGCAATATATTAAATACACTTAACAAGGTTGCTTCATATGTCAGAAAGTTTTGGGAATCTTGCAGAGAGCAGCCCAGTGAGAGAAACAGGAGGAGAATGCATCCCCAAAATTAAAATTTACTTAAAACCCTTTCAAAATGCAACAGTTGTACAAAATCTTTACTTGCATGGTTTTCTTTCATATTGGATGAGTTCAACTGTTTTGCCAAGTGATTAACCTAACACAGCATTTATTTCAAGATCAAGCATGCAACCAGAGTAACAATAACAAAAAATTCTTCTCCACTGGTAATATAGATATGAATTATTTCATAATTTTGAGCATTACGTATATACTGAAGATTTTTTGGATGATTTTATACTTTTGGCTTATTAGCAATAGTAAAGGTATATTACTATGTAATAATGCCAGTATTTTAATGAATAGAAATTAAATTTATCATTCTGTATGTTGCTTTACATACTACAATGTGATAAAAATATGCTGAATGTTTAAATTTTTAAAAATTATTACAGTAAAAGACACATTGACATTAATCCCTTTCAAAATAGCCCCCCTCACTTTCAACATACTTAACCCTTAATTCTTGCCCTTCCTGAACAATTTTACAGTTTATGGCAATTTCTGTTAAATAAAAAGTTTACAGTGTGTATCTGTTGTCAATTAGCCTCTGGTTCTTTTACTAAACTGAGATTGAAATCATGCATCAGCAAAGTGTAACTCTGCTAACAGTCCTAATGTCATCAGATGAGACTGAAAAATGCTGGGTACCAACAGTTGACACATCCACTTGTTGGTCACTACCTGATACTGTAGGTGGACTCTGCTGGGTGCTAGACTTGGCTAGTGGTCTCTGGAGTTCTTCAGTGCTACTAGCCCATTCCTCTTGTTTATTGCTCTTTCTTTTTGAACCAACTGCTGGGTCCATATTACTCAGGATAAGAATCTAAGTAGATTTACAGGACTTTTGGAGCTCACATTACCTGAGAAATGTATCATGAGTAGGTGTACAGGACCACCAAGTCTTTATTTTAAGAGGGCCTGTTCTGTAGCATAATGTGATCAATACACTAGGAAGAGCCCTTCTAGACTAACCCGAGAAGTGTGTGTGTGAATGTGTGTGTGTGGCAGTGCTTATATAGCAGCTGCAGGCCTGTGACTAGTCCACGTACAGGCCTGTGATTGGTGCAGGGCTCCAGAACAGCTTCTGTTGCCATGGTGGTGATCTAATAAGGAGTCAGAGCTGAAACCAGGGCATCTTCTGGAATGTTTGCTGTGGGGGTTGGGGAGATCAACAGTAGTTCCAGATCCCTCCCTCTCTAATCTTAGCCCTCCTTTCTTTAAAGAGGCAGCAGTTCAGTCTGAAATGGTGGGAGCAGAGGAGAGGCACTTTGTTGACAGTTGAGTTGCATTCATATTGCAGTGGAGTGGAGGAGAGTGAGTGGCTGCTAGATAGCAAGAGAGGATCCATAAGCAAATTATCCCAGTCTATTGGGGATGATGGCGAGGGAACCAAAGGGAAATGAGAGAGGAGAATGGCAGCTTCTCCAAAGGCAGTCCCCTCTAGCCAGCATGGGAAAAATAAGACAGTCAGGTTTGCCACTTCTGGCTTTTCCTTAAAGCTACATGTTTGCAGTCAAGTCAGAACACTGAGGCAACCACAAATGTGTAAAACATGAAAGAAGATTCCTAGCATTGCTTTAGGAAGTGGCAAGAATGAGGGAATGAATGTGTTTGAAACAAGGGGAAGTATTTTAAAGGGGAATTAATGAGAATTTGTCTTTTACAGTAATAATTTTTTTAATTCTCACATTCACCTTATTTTTATCACATTTCACATAATTTTTTGTACTAGTACCTCCATATTATAATAGTTTAATACATGTGTTATATAAGCAAGATAGTACTATTATGTTAATTCACACCCTTAAAATTTTTGCTAATTTCTGATAAAATATCACTTTATTGAAATGCCACTGGATAAAGCAGTGCACTTCCTGAAAAGCAATTTGGCCCTATGTACCAAAACATTAAACATGTACATCTTTTTACTCAGCTTTCCGAAAACAACACTAATATTGCACATTGAAAAAATTATATGTGTAGATTTTTATCACATCTGATTTATAATAGAAAAAAGCTGAAAAGATTAAGCAGTATAGTAAACCATATGGCAGAATTCCCTACAGCTTTAGGAATTGTGTTTATGTATACTAGGTAAAATAAGCCAAACTCAAAAAGACATATAAAGTTCTTACTTACATGTAGAATCTAAAATAATCTAATCTTATATGTGGAAACTAAAACTCATAAAAGCAGACAGTGCAGTAGTGGTTACAGAGCCTGGGGTGTGAGGATTAGAAGAGGATGATACAGAATCTCAGTTACACAGGAATAAGTTTATTTTAAGATCAAATGCACATTATGGTGAATATAGTTAATAATAGTGTATTATATAGTTCAAAATTGCTAAAAGAGTAATATCAAATATTACCACCACAAAAATGATAAAATGACAAATTTGTTAATTAGCTTAATTTAATTATTGTACTTTGCATTCATATCACTTTGTCTCTCATAAGTACAGTTAATTATAAATGGTCAGTTTACAATAAAATTAGAAGAAAAAATATGTTCAGGGAAGGTTTTTTTTTTAAAACATTGAAGACCCCAAAATTATACCAAAAGAGTCTTAGAATTGAAAATCTAATTCAATAGTGTAGCAGGCGGGCCAGGGTTTTAGCTCAGTTGTTCTGCCACCTACCTTGCAAGTACAAGGTTCCAAGTTCAATCCCTGGTACCAAAAAGCAAAACAGAACAAATACTATAGCAGGATATGAAATCAACACACAAAAATCAGTAGTGTTCCTGTGCACCAGTAATGAACTCACTGAGAAAGAAATTGGGAAAACAATACCATTCACAGTAGTATCAAGAAAAATTAAATACTTAAAAATTAATCAAAGAACTGAATGACCGCTATAAGAAAAACTACAATACTCTACAAAAAGGAGATTGAACAGGACATCAGAAATTGGAAAGATATCCCGTTTCTGGATAGACAGAACCAATATTGTGAAAATGGTCATACTTCCAAATCTGACATACAGATTTAACACAATCCAAATAAAAACACTAATAACATTCCTCACAGTACTAGGGGAAACAATCCTAAACTTTATTTGGAACCCTAAGAGAACCAGAATAGCCAACACAAGCATGGCTAACAAAAGCAAAGCTGGCTTCAAGTTATAAAGCTACAGTAATAAAAACAGCATGGTACTGGTAGAAAAACAGATTTGTGGTTAAATGGAACAGGACAGAGGATGAAGCAACAATCTCAGGCACAAATAACATGTGATCTTTGTCAAAAGGGCCATAAACATACACTGGAGGAAAATAGCATCTTTCACAAATAGTTCCAAGAAAACTGGCTAGCCACGTGCAGAAGATTGAAGCTAGAACCATGTGTCTCACTGTGTACTAAATGAAAATCAAAATGGATAAAAGATCTAAAAGTTAAAACAGAGGCACTTTATCTGCAGAAAGATAAAATAGGCAAAATTCTTGAAGACATAGGCATAGGCAAGGACTTTCTGAGCAAAACCCTAATTACACAAAAATAACATGAAGAATCAACAAATGAGATAATATCAAATTAAAAAGTTTCTGCACAGCAAAGAAAATAACCAAAAGAATGAAGAGACAACTTAAGAATGAGAAAAAATTTTGCTGACTCTTAGAAGACTAATATCTAGAATATATAAGAACTTAAAAATTAAGGTCCCAAAAGTAAAAGACAATAAAAAATGGGTAACTAAAATGCAAAGACACTTCTCAGAAGAAGTACAGATAGTCAATAAATACATGAAAAAATGTTCAGTGTCTCTGGCCATTAGATAAATACAAATGAAGACAACGCTGAGATTCCATCTTACTCCAGAAAGAATGGTAAGCATCAAGAAGTCAAATAATAAAAAATGTTGGTCAGCCTATGGAGGAAAAAAGGAATTCTTCTATGTTGTTAGTAGGGATGTAAACTAGTACAACCACTGTAGAAATCAATTTGGAGTGTACCCTCAAAGCTAATAATAGGAATTCTACCCAACTCAGTTATTCCCTTTCTAGGTATCTTTCCAAAAAATTAAAGACATCACAATTTATAATAGCGAAATCTTGGAAGTGGCCTATGTGTCCATTAAGATGAATGGATAAAAACATGTAGTATTTATACACTCTGCCATCAGTAAAGATAAACTTTAGCCCTTTGTAAGAAAATGGATGGACACTGAGACCATACTATTAAATGAAATACATCTAAAACACAGGCTTAAATATCATGTGTTTTCTTATATGAGAAATCCAAAAATATAAATGAAGAGCAAAATAAAAGATAATAGGAAATAGGGAGATAGATCTTCTGCAAATGAGATGTGGACCAAGAGATGAGGGAGATGAGGGAGATGAGGGAGGGAGAGGAAAAAAATCAAGATGTGTTTTGTACATGCACAGACCCCCCCCCATGAGGAATGTAGTCATTATGTACTACAGAAAGTACCAATAAAAATTAAAATTTAATAAAAAATAATATGACTAAATTAAAATAGAGTATATAAAATGTATAAACTGTAGAAGAGAATAGGGCCAGTGAAAAGAACAATCAGCAGTTGTAGCCCATTTTATAAACAATGTTATTTCCCATAAATTGACGTGTCAGTATTTCAAACACCTTTTTCTGAAAGGTTGCTATGAAATTCATTTAGGCCTTAACAGTAAGATCAACCCTACTTAATTGTTTTTAAGTAAAATTAATTTGAGTTACAGATGGCCTGTTGGGTTCTTCACATACTTGAGCAGACAAAAGCATACCATTTCTTAAGAACTAAATCCTTTCCTTAATTGTTATGTTTCGAATTCACTGAGAATATCTAGCTAACTAGGCAAGTCTGTATGATAAAGAAAAATCGAAGGAGCCCATCTTAGATAATGTGCTCGTTGCTGAGACAAAATACCTGACACCTACAAGTTAAAGAAGAAAATGTTATTTCACTTACCGTTTGTAGAGGCTTCAGCCCACAGTCAGCCGATTCCAAGGTAAGGCAGCATGGCAGAGGCACATGGCTGAAAAGCAACAGTCTACGGCAGGCAGTCAGGAAGCAGCAGCAACAGTGAAGCCTTCCAGACTTTTATCGAATCCAGGTTACAAGCCTATTGGATGGTGCCACCCACACCCAGGGTGTGCCTTAACTTATCCATACCCAGAACTATGCTAAACCAAACAGGTGGCTAATTTAGTTAATGAACACTCATACACCCAAGATCCAGCCACCTCCAAAAAGCCCCAAATATAAGCAAATGAGACTTTGGAGAAAATATCTAGATAAAAACCACAGCAAAGCCTAAGAAGATCTCAAGGAAAACTATATCCTCAGCTTTTTCTTCCTCCTTTCCTCTCATGCCTCCAAACATTTCTGCCCCTGGACACACTCACTTTCTCCAAGATTAGGTTAAGGCATGCCAAGGAGCTTATGAGAGGTCAACTAATGATCATGCTGACATTAGCCAACTCCTTTTCAACTGTAGAAACTTATTTTTAAAAGGTATTTCTAGGATTTTTCTAAGTATAGAAGAAACCCAAGATTTTTGTATAATATATAATGGTACAGAATTGTATAAAATCAAAAGTAAAAGTTAACAAGAGAGGCAGCCCCTCAAATATAAGAAAAAAAATATTTTTTTCTTTGGTACTGGACATTGAACTAATCCAACTGTGGCAAAAGAATTTTGGAGGAAATACTATGGCCCAAACAAGGAAGACTTCTGTGGAGGGCCAGTTTGCAAGGATGACAGTCTCATTAGGGTGAGGAAAGCTTCCATACTCAATAATGATTCTTCTTAGAATATCTCAAGCTAACCAGGGGAGGACAGTGCTCATGCAGCATTTTGACCTCTTGTGAGTTTTTGGAGCCAAACTGGTATGAAGAGTATATCAAGTATGGGGTTGGGGGAGGGGGTGGCCTGATGCAGAAGTTTGAAAGCCAACAGGAATGAAAAAAAATCCATTCAGAGGTACATAGGAGCTAGCTAAACTTGGGAAGTCAAAGCCTGACAAGTATGGAAAAGGTGGAGGGAGCTATGGTGCAAAGGGGTGTCAGATCCTAGGTAGGATGAAAAGGCTATTCATCTGAGGAGGATTTGGCAATGGAAATGGTTAATTGGTTAAAGAGCCTACATCCATAGGTGACTGATTTAGGTGGATACAATGGTTTGGTTAAGCATCTTCCAAAGGCCCACATGTTAAAGAATTGGCTATAGCCCACAGAGCTGTTGGGAAGTGGTGGGACCTTTAAAAGGTGAGGGACAAGTTGGAAGTGTTCCAGTCACATAGAGGTGTGCCCGTGAAAAGAATATTGAGACTCTGGTCCTTTTCTCTCTCCTTCCCTGCTGCCAAGAGGTGAACAACTTCTTCTACTATGTACTCTTGCAGTGATGTACTGTGCTGTCACAGGCCCAGAGTAACAGGACCAAGTGACTATGGAATGAAACTCTGAACGTGTGAGTCTAAATAAACCCTTCTTCCTTTTAAGTTGATTCTCTCACGTATTTTGCCACAATGATAGAAAGCTGACTAATGAACCAGTACTTAGCCTTTGCTGGCTTATTGTAAAGCATTTCCCAGACATTATAAATACTTTAGTATGGATCACTAGGAGATAAGGATTTTTTAAAAACCATAAAAATACAATTCTATTATAGCCCCTAATTTTTTTCACAACTCCTTAATATCTAATTGTTGGTTAGTATTCAGATTTCTTCAATTAGTTCTTATTTGTCTGGTTTATTTGAATCAAGATCTGAACTGGGTCAGGGATTTAGCTCAGTGGTTCTGGCTCCTGCCTGGCAATACCAAGGGCCCAAGTTCGATCCCCGGTACCAAAAAAAAAAAAAAAAAAAAGTCCAAACTAAATCTACTTATTGTATTTGAATGATATGATTTTTCAAGTCTCTGTTAATGTATTCCAGTTTTTTCTGCTTTTGCTTCTTTTGACAATAGATAAATGTATCTGTTAAAGAAGACAAGTTGTTTGCCCCTCAAATCTCCCTCATTTCATATTTGGCTGATTATATTGCTGCTGTGTCATTTAACATGTTTCTCTAACCCCTGTATTAGTATCTTTATGAATGCATAAATTGTTAACTTATTTGCTATATTACTGACCATGTCTAGTGTTTGCATTGTTCCATCTTTGGCCAGTGAAGTCCATTGAGTTGGTTTCTATGTACTCTTAATAGGACTCTATTGAACTGACAATTCCATTACTTTCTAGAACGGTGAGATATTTAGATTCACCTTTTTTTAATGTTCTAAAATGGAAATCAGTCATGTATTCATTTTCTTTTGGTGGAAAATTACATTTAGAAACCACAGTGGGTGCTGGGATTTTGCATTACACTAAGGTTGGCCATTACTTCAAGATCTTTCCATTACTCAGTGCTAGGAAATGCTCTTGTTTATTTTAAAGATAAAATTATACTATGAATTCATGTTGATACTTTGAATTCAAATTTAAGGTTACAGGTTTTTTACATATCTCTTTTATATTGGTATTTCTTAATTTCCAATAACACTACTGTTTGATTTACCATACAACATATATTTAATGTTTCAAACTGTAATACTAACTTTATGATTGTTCAATACAGTATAATATTTATTTATATGCTTTTGTCCTTATAATATATCCTACTAGGTATATAGTTAAATTATTGTCCTAAAGTCATTTGAAATAACTCTTGTGTTATTAAGTAACCACCTTGGCATGTAATTAAATAGTTAATTTCATTATATTTTCAAATTTTAAAGATTGCTTTTTTCCTTTATTTTTGTTTCTATTATGTTTAATATTTATATGATCCCAAAGTCAAAACTATGAAACAAGATACATTCAAAGAATCCATTCCTATTCTCCTATTGTTCAAAATTCCCATTCATTTTAGGTTTATCCTTCTACTGCTTTCTTTCTTTACTCCCTTATTCAGATTAAAAGTAGTATGCTATACACATTCCTCCTCTACAGCAACAATATATTAAATAGTTAGATACCCACAAGAAGGTGCAGTCCATGCAAGTTAGTTCATTCACTAAGAGTACTAACTCTTCCCTCTGAAAACTGGCCACTATAAGAAAATAATTTAGTACTTATCCTTCATTTATTATAAGGACTGTATTTCAGGGTTACTGAGGAGCATTAGTGGATCAGGAAGCATTTTTTTTTTTACAGAAAAATTCCAGTTTATCAACATGGAAGGGATATTAGAATTAGAACTTCCCCATTTTGTAATTCCCAATGAAAAAAATGATTCAGGCAGTAATCATCAGCTGCCTGAAACTATCAGCTGAAAGGTGATGGGGAGTTCTGCCATGGAGGAATCAGGCTTTCACTGCCTGGAATAGTTGGTCAGTGTTAATTACCAATGTTGAAGTGCCAGACTTGGTGTGCCTTATCCACTATGAAGTACTCAGAAGCCCGTAGAAATAATGGGCTCTTACTCCCAAAGTTAAACCTGAACCAGAACAAAATCCACAAAAACCAGAAAGAAAGCAGAAAACAAGATAAATGATCACTCCACTCCTAAAGAAAACCATAGACAAATCTAGAATGTCTAGGATTTGAACCAGTCATCTGGATTTTGCAATAATTCAATTACATTAAAAGTACTTATCCTATTTATTATAAGGACTGTATTTCAGGGTTACTGAGGAGCATTAGTGGATCAGGAAGCATTTTTTTTTTTACAGAAAAATTCCAGTTTATCAACATGGAAGGGATATTAGAATTAGAACTTCCCCATTTTGTAATTCCCAATGAAAAAAATGATTCAGGCAGTAATCATCAGCTGCCTGAAACTATCAGCTGAAAGGTGATGGGGAGTTCTGCCATGGAGGAATCAGGCTTTCACTGCCTGGAATAGTTGGTCAGTGTTAATTACCAATGTTGAAGTGCCAGACTTGGTGTGCCTTATCCACTATGAAGTACTCAGAAGCCCGCCATTTTGTAATTCCCAATGAAAAAAATGATTCAGGCAGTAATCATCAGCTGCCTGAAACTATCAGCTGAAAGGTGATGGGGAGTTCTGCCATGGAGGAATCAGGCTTTCACTGCCTGGAATAGTTGGTCAGTGTTAATTACCAATGTTGAAGTGCCAGACTTGGTGTGCCTTATCCACTATGAAGTACTCAGAAGCCCGTAGAAATAATGGGCTCTTACTCCCAAAGTTAAACCTGAACCAGAACAAAATCCACAAAAACCAGAAAGAAAGCAGAAAACAAGATAAATGATCACTCCACTCCTAAAGAAAACCATAGACAAATCTAGAATGTCTAGGATTTGAACCAGTCATCTGGATTTTGCAATAATTCAATTACATTAAAAAAAAAAACAAGGACAAGAAAAGCACTTTTCTAGACTAAAGGGACTTGAAAAATTTAATAGCCAACTGTAATGTGTGGACAGCATTTGATGTCTAAAAAGAAACAGCTGTGAAACATTTTTAAGACAATTGGGGGAAGTGATCATGAATGGGGTGATAGATGGTGCCAAGGAAACATTGTTGATATTTTTAGATATGGCAAGGGCATTTTGATTATGTAAACATTTTTTACATTTTATTCTGTGGACACACAAGCTGGAGATTTTTTTCAGGTATTTTGGCAAAGAAGAAATTAAAAAAAGGATTACTGGGTCAGTGTGGCAAAATGCTGGTAACTATGGGATCTGGGTGATACAGAGAGCCTCATGATGCTAGTCTCTCTATCTTTGAGGAGGCTTGACAGTTATAATGATAAAAATTAGCATTTGATGACTACATAGTTTACTGTGAAAAATCTAAACTCTATACTCTGAGAAGTCTTCCAGTCTAATCTTACTTTTCCAGTTTTACCTACTAAGATTTCCACTCATGTGTACTTTCCATGGTTACAATAACTAGTGTATCATAATTGTTCTTGCTGCTTTGCCTGTATGTTTCCTCCATGTAAATGTCCTCTTCACCCATTTTTCTAAGAACAAGCCAGAGCCATGGTTTAAAAACCTGGTACTAATAACTATAATTTGTTAAGTGCCTAATCTTGGCAAGGGACTATACTAGGTAATTGACATATATTAATTACTGAACAATCTCAAAGTATTTCTAAGATGAGAAAATTAAATAAAAAAGGTGAAATAATTTTCTCACAGTTATTCAGTATCTAGGAATTACTCTTTGTTTACACCAATGGTTGTCAAATTTTAGGGTAAATTGAAGTTATCTGGAACAGTTATTTTAACACGTTGATAGTCCTGAGGCATGCTCTTGAATCTTGATTCTTTTGGGCTGCGTTTGAACTCTGTGGTTGGTTTTTTTTTTTTCCACTCAGAAGGATCAGATCCTGGGACATGCAGTATTTGAGCCACACTCTGAGAAACCCAGCACTATACCAAACTTCATTTCATGCTACACATAACTTCATTTCACTGCACCAATTCTACCTACAGATATATGCCCAAGATAAATAAAAATGTTAAAAAATACTTGAACCTGAGTGTTCATAGCAGAATTACGTCAAATAGACAAAAATGTAAACAACTCTTAATAGCAACCATAATTGATGGATGGATAAGTAAAATGTGTGATTCTGTGCAATGCAGTATTATTCAGCAATAAAAGGTAATGAATTACTGATACATGCTATAAATGCATGAATATTTTAAAATATGTTAAGTATAATTAGTCATTCACAGAAGATTATATATTATAGAATTTCACTCACTGGTGTGGTGGCGCATTCCTGTAATCCCAGCACTTGGGAGGTGGAGGCAGGAGGATCGCTGTGATTTCAAGACCATCCTGGGCTACATAGTGAGTTCCAGGTCAGTCTCAACTATATAGTGAGACCCTGTCTCAACACCCCCCCCCCAAAAGCATTTCATTTATATGAAGTGTGCATGTATTAATTCATTTGTTGCTTTATGAAATACCCAAATGCTTTATAAAATATCCATTACTTTATAAAGAAAAGTGATTTATTTAGCTCATTGCTTAGGAGGCTAGAATTCCAAGATTGGGTGACCTCACTGGTCCAACCTTTGGTGAGAGCCTCCTTAGCTATGTCACAACATAGCAGATGGCGTAATGATGGGATCTTGTGCGTGAGAGGGAGAGAAAAGTAACATGGCAAAACAGGAAGTCAGAGATGGGGGAGTCAGCCTAGCTATTTTTATAACAACTCACTCTAACTCTTATTGAGACCAGCATTAATTGTTTCTGAAGACAGTGGCCCTAATGACCTAATTAACTGTCACTAGGCCTGACCTCTTAATGGTTCTACCACCTCTTGACATCATCATACTGGAAACCAAGCTTTCACATCATGAAGCTTTGGGGCATATACTCAAACCATATCCAAACCTAATTGGTTTGAAATAGGAAAACATTTAGACAGAAAGTAGATTAGTGATTGTCTGGTTCTGCAAGATGGGAGGATTAGAGGGTAAGGAGTAAGGTTTCTTTAGGAA